GCCAAGAAAAGGTGTTTTGGAGCATAGTCTGGGGAGATATCAGGACAGCTGCAGAGATACCCTTCTCTTTGTGCCTGTCTTACATCCAGCCTTATTTCTCATCCTGCTTCATGCTCGGTGGGTCGTTACAAAGTATGAGCTCACTACCCTACCAACAAAATCCACTAGGGAAACCCTAGCAGATGGAGTAATGCTTCTAAACCTTCTAAAGCTGGAACCAGTGAATTATTTCCCTTCCCTCAGTTTTTCTCTCTTTACTTCCCCTAGAACTGCTCCCAGGAAAGATCATGATAATCACATAGTTAAGAATCCAGAGGAATTCAATATTCCTAGGTTTTTGTTTATTCTTTTTAATCAAAAGCTGAGTGTATCTTTCCCCTCCATAGATCAGAAATCTCTGAATTCTCCAAAGTAGAAGTTGTGCAATTTATACCCTCATAGGGGCATGTTTCCAAACCATTCTCTTGTAGATAGTGTCAAAGGTGAGGAAGATTGGAACCTGTCCCAGTAACAATCAGCTGACAGGCTTAGAGAGAGTTGTCAATACGGCAAAAGTCAACATTTTAAAAACAGAAGTGGAACCATGGTTCTATTAAGGCATTGCCCCCCCTCACCCTCGCACACAAGGTTGGTTTGTTGTCAGAGACATAAATGCGCCACCTTTGCACCTGGGTTAATGCTACTACTCCAAGTTCCTTGGTCACCTAAGGAAGTTCTTCCCAAACTGGAAGCTGGAACCATGCGTAGATACTCAAGGGTCTCCAGACAATTAGAACTCTAAGGGGGCCTCTTATCCTTGTGTCAGCAGCCATCTGCTGCCTTTGGAACATCATAGCGAGTCAGAGGGACGGGCCTATAGCAGCTACGGCAGCAATGAAGAGAGGTCAGTTTTGCATACAAGAAATGGAAATGCCCCCAGAAGGTTCAGAATGCAGCTGCACCAGTCAACTGAATCTGCTTTGAGTTCTGTACAGTGGGGGGTTTCAGAAAACACATTCTCTGGATAGTTTAGATCAAATGAAGCTGAAGAGATGCACAGGAGAGCGGACACCCATGGTCTCCTATAATGGTGCTTTCTAGAGTGCATGTCTGTTTTTCCCCAGCCCATATTCTATTTTCTTGCTATCGTATATACCTGGGCGACAGTCTAACTGAGTGATGGGGCAATATTCCAGGCCAAGGCAGGATGCTTTTCATAATGGGAAGCAGTTATATTGCTAAGGAACATAGTTCATGCAGGTGATCTAAAATCTGGAGATTCCCACCCCCCTCAACCCCCAATTCCCAGATGATCCGTTAACTACAACCATAAGACAGGGCGCATCATCAACCCAGTGTTTGAACATTTTATTGAGCCTCAGAAAGATTTAGCATTTCTGTGAGAGGAACTTTCTTGGAAACTCAACCCTGCTTTTCTTGATACTAGATAAAGGACCCATCTTCTGAACTGACTGGATTTCCTTATTTGCATAACTTTTTACTGACCCAATGTTTCAGCAAGCCGGCTGTTTGGTCAGTATTTCAAGAATCAGTCAAACACATTGCCTGATTGAATTTACCAAAGGCTTAGAGCGCTCGTCCTGTACCAGCATGCCTGTTTATCTGGTTATGGTGTATTGTTGCCTCTTGATAACGGCAGATCCATCAGAATAAACATTCTTGATCTGGGTGCCGGTGAGGGGGCAGGAATTGACCGAGCATAGCATTAAAAGCCAATGAAAAGACAAGGTGACAAACACACTATATTTTCCAAATATTTAAATTTTGGTGGAGGTATTTGATTTGATGATTTATGGTAAAATGTTTTTCTTGCTCCCTTCATCTAATCATTCTCGCAAATTCAAATACTTTCACTTAATATTTGAAGGTATAAATCTAATTTCTTCATTTTCCTCTGTCTGGGTATACTATCTCTTTAGTTCACCCACTGAAAGATATTTCAGTCCTACTTTTTAAATAAGCAATTATATTAGTAATATGTGTGCAGTCATCTTTCAGATTAAAAACAAATTAATGCTGATTTGTCATCCTCTCTTTAAAACTGCTTTTCATCTTGAAAGTGGTAATTCAATGTAAGACCCAGAAACAACTAGGATTGTTTGATGTTTTTATGCAATTAAGAGTTTTAATGAACCGAGACACACATATTTTATAGGTTTCAATGAGCAATAAATTAGCATGATGTAAATATCAGTATGTTATACTGATTTTGAGTATTCCTTGTCAAAAGTACACTTATATTTTGAAATTATTCTCTTTGTTAAAGTGAGTTATATTGTCTGGAAGGTGGAAATTATTGTAAGAGATCTTTTGTGGCAATGTATTTTAAGCCATATAAAGCTTTAAAAATTGACCACGAATGTCTATTTGGCTTTGCAAAATCTGCAGGAATTCTACCAGTACTTTTTGCTCCTTGTTCTTTCCACCCTGATCTTTCCCATTCTCCTTCCTTGTGTCTTACTGATTCATCAGATTGAGATAGCTTCCTCAGCAGAAAGATCTCAGTAAAAATCAAAGACCAAGAGGCAAATCTATTGGAATCATCATGAATTTCACTCCTTTGTTGTCGTCGTTTTTCTTTTTTAAAAAGGCACACCTTTAACTTTTTTTTCCCTTCTCTTTCTTTCTTTCTTTCTTTCTTTCTTTCTTTTGGTGGGAAGGTGTGGTTAACATAAACCAGATTCTAATTTCAGGGAGCAAAGCCAATTACTCCAAAAGTCAATACTCGGAAATTAATGTATTTTTGGTTTTGGTCACCTATGGAATAAATTAGATTTTTTAACCCCTCGAGTAATTAGTGATTTTTTTTTCAATCAGTCTAAAAAAAAAGTCTCTTTTCATTATTACCTGCCTTTTCTCAGTATGCAGCATGGCAGTACAATTGACAATGAGGTGCTTTGAAACATCATATTTCTTTTCCAGTGGGTCAGGAACCCCATTTCTTTTCCTCATTTCCTGTAGAACAGGAAGGATGAGAGCCCTGGGCCAGGACAATGGTGTCACATCAGGAGTAGAAGAGGTGTTTACTATGATCCTTGTAGCTCTGTGCCTCAGAAGCCTCTCCTGGAGCCCTGGGTCTGATGGGGAGACCTGACATAAGAGACGAGACTTGGGTGGTCCTCTGTCTGACTCTTCTTCGACCTCTCCCAGAACAGATTAAACAGAACTGATGGGATGAGTTGAGATGCTTCATTGCCAACACTACACCCAGGAGTTTGTTTTTCTTTTAAGTGATCTTGTGAGGCCAGTGGGGGCCTCCATCTTGATTAATGATGATCATCCTATAATAGCAGCTAGAAACCGTGGTACCATGGTTTGGTGTCAGTTTTTGACAAAGGAAATTAGGCTCTGAAAGACATTTCTCATCAGAAACTGTCGATATATTAAAATGCATTTAAAACTTACTTCTGGGAAACGTATTAAATAGGCCAATCATTTAATCATTTGCTAAATGTCAAACCCTATAAAATCATGGTATAATGTCACCCTGACGTAAAGCAACATCAAAATTAGTGCATCATCTATAAAGTGAAGTATCATTTGCCTTCAAGTGACAAATTCTATTGCCAAAAAATACCACTGTACTTCTAATAAGTGACACTCATTTTAATAGACCCTACAAAAATACAGTATTTTCAATGTCCCCATAAAACAGTTAACTTACAAATATTACTCTCAGAGCTTTGGTGACACCAGTACATGATATTATTGTGAAAATCCTAATAGAATACTTGAAACACTACCATGTAAACTAAATCCATTATACATATATATATGTGTGTGTGTGTGTACACACACACACACACACACACACACATACATATATATATATATATATATGGCTATGTGGAAATATGAGAGAGCATGCATACAACCAACTCTGGGAAATTATTCTGGAATTTCAAATTAATATTTTAATCAAATTAATGACTAATATATAAAAGAAATATTTTTAAAGGATTAGAAAATGAATCTTGATTATTTATAGAGGAAACAATTCTAATGTAAAAATAACAAATTCTCTATTAACTATGCTTGTCTTTTTCTCAATAAGAGAACCCAGGATTATACTTTGAAACATTTTTGGAAAAAAAAGTATTTTCTCTATTTTTGCCCACAAAAAACAGGCACTGAACTTAATAAAACAGGTAGACCACAGCTCTGAGAAATTATATTTGAAGTTTCATATTTAAATGCCAAAGTTTTTTAATCATCCACCATAACTTTCTAACAACGATCTTCCTTAATGATAAATTTTATCAATCTCCAAAACTCATTTTAAATTATTTAAAAGTAGCAAATTAGATAAAGCAACATACAAATAAATTCCACATTTACAAGTAAAGAAATCACATGGGCTACAGTTTATAATCAACATAAACTTGAAAGAAATTAAGCAATATCTTTCCTGCCACCCATCATTCACTGCTTAAATTTGTGGTGAAAAAGATTTATCTGTAATGAACTTTAGTCTGTTTCTTAACTCTTTGTGTGTATTGTAATTAGCTAACGGCATTGAACAAATTAGTTTGTCCTATTTTTATTCCGGTCCCAGAGATAAATGGCTAATTTATGAAATATTTCACTCTGTATTATGAGAATTTAGCAAATGAATATGGAACCAAATATAAACACTTTATACCATATGTACAGTTACTTTCATAAGGCATTATCATGTAATTTTTATTGAAAAAGATTCAATATAGTAAAGTCTTATTTTAAGATATAGTTTCTTTCTCAATCCGAGATGTTTAGTTTATGAAAATATTGTTTTTCTCTATATTCTTTTTGTATATATGCCAACATATACCTGTGCTAGAAATATTTTATGGGAATTACAATTCTTTATATTTGTATTTTCTATATAAAGGCATATACAACTTTGAGGCAGTGTTTCTGATGGAGAGCAGAATTCGTAAAGAGCTTGTATGTGCTTCCGTGCTCCGAAATTATATGAAATCCACTTCGAGAAGAAACTTATTTGATTAAAAAACAAAAACAAAAACAAAACAAAAACAAAACTGCACCAATGCACAGCCAAAGGCTGACAAGTAAAACTAATACATAACCACATGAACATCATATTTATATAGTTAACAATTTTAAGGATGATCAGTGCTAACATATATTATTATACATTTGGCACTAATGTTTGCCATTGGTCCAGCAAATGGCAAAATTTGTTTCTATGTATAAATTTATTTTTGAACATTAGGTCTGGCTAGACGTATCTTCACTATTTATAAAAAATATTTAGACAGTAAGCTCACGTTGAATAACTAGGTCTACTGTGTTCTGGAAACTCTTCAGTAGTAATACAGCTTTTTCATGTTCCATATGTACAAAACTATGTCCATTTGCCTGTAAACACACAAACAAAACAGGGCAATCAATTCAAGATACTTGTTTATAACCTCGTCATTTTTTCTAATCATAAGATTAAAGGAACTCTTGAGCAACCAAAAACTATTGGTTTTCAAAATTCATAATAGAATTGTAACTATGGAAACAGCTAATTATTTTCACCCAGCTATGATTCAGTTTATTAACTCAACAAATATTTAACAAGCTTCTAGGACTTCCTAACTAAGACTGTCCTAGCCACTGTACTAATCATAGAGATGCCCTGGTGAATAACAGATAGATACATTTGAAATAAGGCAGTTGTTCTGTGGTCGTTCTTTTGATTTGTCTTGTTTTTACAGGTACTTAGTTGAGATGTTTTGGAAGTGTCCACTGGACCAGACCATTGCCTTCTTGCTATATAATTACTGAAAAGAATAATTCCATCAGCAAGGTGAAATATTTCACTCATGACACACATGGTTGCACACTTAGGGTCTTATTAGGTCTTATTTTGGCTCATTGAAAAGTTCTTAGTTTATACATTTTTATATTTTTTTACATTCTTTTTTTTTTAAGGTTTTATTTATTTATTTGGGGGAGAGAGAGAGAAAGAGGGAAAGAGGGAAAGAGAGAGAAAGCACAATCAAGGAGAGGGACAGAGAGAAAAGCAAGCTCCCCGCTGAGCAAGGAGTCCGACGCAAGGCGCCATCTCAGGACACTGGGATCATGACTCGAGCCAAAGGCAGATGCTTAACCGACTGAGCCACCCAGGCACCCCTACATTTTTATATTAAAGAGGTCATTTTTACTTCCCCCATTGCTAAATGCAAGTATATTCATTATTTATACCGGTGGTTCTCAATGGCATCCAATATACCTAAGAGATCCATGCCTCAGAGGTGAAGCACACTGATATTATTAACAGTGAAAATGCCTGTCATCTTCTAGGTAAGAATCATCAGTCTAAGTATTCAAAATCCATTTTAAACACAGTTAGCCTAAGGTTAAAAGTTTGGGATTCAACTGGTTAGTATTTGACTCTTCACACGCTTTTCTGTTGCGAGTGCTCTTTTTTTCTTGTATTCAATTTCAGCTTCTCTTGATTGGAATGATTTCTACTATTAATGTATAAAGAAGTGGATCCCATAAAACTTCACTGTCATTAAGGCCCAAATAAAACACAACCTTACAGAAACTTGGTCGGAATAATTCTTGGAAATTCCATGACTAACAATTATGTAAGTTTTCCTCGCATCTGGGACTCAGTTGATTTGGAAGAGTCAGCCAAACTGACTAGGTGGCAAAGTATCGATAACAGAGCCGGTTAATTGGTTGACGTTTTCAGTTTTCAATTGACTGATACTAATTTGGGGAACCCGTTGCCTTTGTTGTTTTACTTTTTTAATGCTTTCTTAAAATATGATTAATATTTCAAATAACCACTCTAGATATTTCACTGCCTTTGGCTTTTTAAAATTTAAAACAACAGATCACAGTACTGTATAGTCTTTATAACTTAGATGAAAGTCATCTGACACATTATATTTTATCACTAGTTTGTTAAAATTGGTTGACTGATGATATGATAAAAAAAAAAAAGGTCCTAAAATATTGCATTTCTTAAACCACAGTACATCTAACAAGGAAAATATGAGGACACAGAAATGTAAAACCATGAAAGCCCATATTACTAGAAGTATAAATTTGTTTGTTTGTTTTAAAGATTTTATTTATTTATTTGACAGACACAGCTAGAGAGGGAACAGAAGTAGCGGGTGTGGGAGAGAGAGAAGCAGGCTTCCCGCGGAGCAGGGAGACCAATGTGGGGCTTGATGTGGGGCTCAATCCCAGGACCCCAGGATCACGACCTGAGCTGAAGGTAGACGCTTAACAACTGAGCCACCCAGGTGCCCCCAAATTTGTTTTGAATAGAAGAATCTCCTTCTCTCTCCTAACCTCCCTCCTCTCTCTCCTCTCTCTCTGTCTCTAAATATATATATCTCCTTTAATGTATATAATAACATTTAATTAATGGAAATGCTCATCAAATTAGCATCAGCTGTTTTGGTGGCAGGAAATTATAGTTGGGTAGAACTTGGGTTTGTTCCACAGCCCACATTTCTTGCTTCAGTTGTAGTTAGAACCAGAGAATTGGATTCCATGTGATGTTATTTCTGGTCAGATGAAGATGTGGGATAGAGAACACAGCATATGGTGCATTCTTCTTTTTATTCTCAATCTGTATCTGACATCAGGAAAATAGCAAACTTGGGTGAAATGTATGCTTCTTCCACTGTATTTTTGAGGAATATACTAACTGCCTTAATGTCCCCAATTTGACCAAAAGACATACCTGAATTGTGAATTAAATTTATTTATTTATGTATTTACTTACTTATTTTAAGCAAGCTCAATGCCCAACGTGGGGCCGGAACTCACAACCCAGAGAGCAAGAGTTGAATGCTGTACTGACTGAACCAGCCAGGTGCTCCTAAATTTAACTTTAATAATGGAATTCTTAAATGTCCTTAATAATAACTTTGTGAATGTTCAGATTTCTCTATCGAAAGACTCAAAATCGAGTTGCAATGAACTCCAAACCCACCAAGAATTTTCAGGGAATTGTTTGAAATTTCAGTATCTTAGTGTTTCAGAGAAAAGGAATTCTCTAGGATTTGGAGGTCATGAATGGTATATTGTCCACCATTAGACCTCCCCATTCTTGGTTTTAGGAACTACCAGTCCCAAAATAATATCAATTTTAAGAGCACAAGTGGCAGAGAGCCCAGATAGCAAATGAATCACAGCTGTTAATTTTGAATGATACTTCTATCAAAAGGTCTTCAGAAAAAGGTGTTTCACTTCTATCATTTTTTTTCTTTCTTTTTTTTCAATCAAAAACGTCAGTTATATTAACTGGGCTCAAGACATTGTGCCTGGCACTGGGGATAGGAGTAAGAAAGAGATGAGACAGGGAAGGCTCCCCTCAAAGAAGTAACCCTCCAGAAGGGGAAATTAGCCATGGACATAATGTAAAATAATGTAGAAAACGCCTTACCCGTAGAAGGCACTCAACAACGGCTGAACTGAATTATCACCAGAAGAGATAAATAAAGTACTAGGGTAGCTCAGTGGAACGGAAAGGGAAGAGGGAAAATTTTCAGGGACCCATTTTCTCTGAGGTGAATTACAAGAGTTTTCCCCATACTCACACCTGGCAAGAGTGTGATTAGCGAAAGGGCCACAATCTTGTCTCACTCAAGCCTGGAGCCTCCTCCAGCTCTAGACATGTGAACAGTTGGCTATTTCAAGTAAATTCTTCAATAATCCATGTAAGGAAAAGAGTTTTAAGATGATCTCAGTATGTAATCATTTTTATGAGAATTTAAAAATAAAAATATCAGTGAACTTAGACCCTAGGCTTTAGCGTAGGGAACAACCATAAAAATAAGCTAATGTGTGTGGGGGGGTGCGGCGTTGATGAAAGCTGGGGTTAGTTTGTAGATTCTTTTCTTCAAAATGAAGAGAGATAACCCAATATGTGAAATATTTAAACAAAACTCTGGAGAGATAGAAAGAGGCAGTAAGAGAGTGAGAGAATGAGAGAGTGAGAGCAAGCATGATCTAGGCTAATGCTCTTATTTTGTAAGTGAAAGAGATAAACCTCAGAGAGGCCAAGCTACCTGACTAAGGCCAAACATCCAGGGCTGAATAATCTGACACCGTAATATTTGTTCTTATTATTTCTTTCAATACTTCACTAAAATAATAAGACCACGGTTGCTTCCAATGATCTGAACTGACATTTCATTGAACTATTTCCCCCTTAAAATTGTTGCTATATCATCTCTTGACATAATTTGTTCTTTACAGTGCTTGCAAAACCTTAATTCTCATTCAAATTCCTCTCAGGATTAACATAAGTCATTCCAAAAATACTGGTAGAAATAACATTTGGTCCTAAATTAGAATCTCCAGAAATGCTGAACCTCTCATTCTTATTATAGTGTTAACTCTGGCTTAATTGGGTTCTTGTAGCCATATGTGAGCTTTCTCTCTCAAAAGTGGAAAGACTAAGTCAAGCTATCTGCTAGGACAGTGCCAGGAAACTTGTGAGGAAATGGATTAAAAAAGGAGAAAACTTTTAGGGTAGAATCTATAAATCTGGCATTTAATTGAACAAGGGTAGAAGAAACGAAGAAGAATCAGATTGTGATATCATTAACGGAAAACGGAAACAAAGTAATAGCTTAGTTGGGAAGACAATGGGGTTTGTGGCCATGGAAATGCATGCAAAGGAAATGTTGATCATATATTTAGAAACAAGAGACTGGAATTCAGGAAGGAGGTCAGGGTGGCAGCATTAGCGACAGAGGTTAGGCTTTGCTGCTGTTGGTATTCACCACAGGGAATGCTGAGAGATTTATCAGAAGATAAATTTAAAAGCGAGCATTGTGAAAGAAGGGAAATCAAACCAGGGGAGTGGGATGGGGTTGCAGCTTGTGACATTTAGTGCAAAGCTGAAAGACAGCATTTGCTGTTGCCCTGGGCATCTAGAAAAATCTGCCTGAGGTAAGAGGGCCTAATCCTTCCTGTAGGAGGATGGCAGAAAGCTGGCTCCAGCTCAGTGGCCAAATTGAAGAACAAGGATCTCAGGGGACAGAGGCACGGAAGGGAGAGAACAGGACAGAGGGGCTCCTGGGAGATCCAGACGGAAGGATAACAGGAAGAGTCGGCAGGAAGGGGATCATGGTACTGTGCTCACAAAAGCTGCAGAAAATCCAAGAGAATCAAATCTTTTCCAGTGGCCCCAATGAACCCTAGCTTGCTGCAGCAGAGAGGGGAAAAAAAAAGCAGGGAAAAGATAAAGCTTGCTGAAGTCTGGCTTTGTATCTGGCTCTGTTTCCAATAAAACTGGCTTCAAGATGTTCTGAACCACCATCCAGGCTCTGATTCAAGGCTAGAAAGATCCCGCGTATAAACTAGCTTTAATATCGCTTTAAACCATCAGCTTT